ATTCAAAAATAACGGAAATAAGTTACACTGAGTTATTAGAGCAATCATTGTGTGTGTCTGTACATTTTGGAATGTAATTTCAAATTTGATGGATTGAAACGTTCACCTTTAAAGGTTTTAGGTTTTTACTCTGTCAGTTTCTGGTTTTGACACTAGAGGACATTCCAGTGATATATTGTGCACTGCTTATAGTATACACACTTTATGTATAAATGAAATATTAGGCAATTTATAACAAACGTTTGATTCTGTCTTTACAAAAAAACCAATAGGAAACAACTAGTAGTGACCATTAATAATAACCCTAATATAAGCACTGATATTTGATTGAGCGAGAAAAAAAACAAAACTGGATGATTTCGTCTCTCTGTCCTTGTTTTGGCGGATAATTAAGGATAGCGTTGCAAGTCCATATTAGTGGATTTATGAGTTATTAAATGTTGAATGAATATTAATCTCATTCATGAAACAGTCTATCTGGATCACAACACACATTTAAATATGCATTTAGTATAGTTTTCTAGCAACACTGCTCCTTTATGTTAGCTACTCCCCCAAACAGATGAAAACTAAAGGCATTAGTATAACTGTCAAACATCTGCATGGTACTATAAATGTCACAATAGCAAATCATACATTGCATTTATTCTTAAAACGAATCCCAGACATTGACAGACAAAAACAGGATATGATCGTTACAAACATCTGTGAGATCAAGAATAGTTATTGTTAGAACTCTTGTAACTAGCAGAGCTTGTCTACAGGGTCACAGCGTGAGTTCATAAGATCGTGGATTTATAGTGAGATGGATATGCCCTTCAACATCATGTTTATATGTCACAAGCACATGATGTTTTGGCTGGAGAGAATATTCTCTCTCTCTCTCTCTCTCTCTCTCGTGTACTGAAGAAAAATGTGTCAAACTGTTAAAATCATGGGCAGAAATGGAAAAACACCCTACAACCACACATGCTATAGACACAGACACAGTGTTGACACCTCAGACCCAAACTCATGAACAGACATCAAACACAAACATACAGAAGCAGGCACATTCTCATGCTGAAGATGTTTGTCTACCAAACCACATTTCACAGAATGAAGAGGTTCACTTTGACTTGTTGAACATTTTACATTTATGGTGAGCAGATATACATGTCCTCAATTTGTTTTTAGACCCAAAAAATGAATATGCTGTCATTTACTCACACTCATGTCATTCCAAACCCACTGGACATTTCAATCATCTCCATTTTTGTCCATATAATGAACATTTTCAAGCTTCAAGAAATGGACGGAAGCTTAAATTAGCATGCTTGATGCACAAAAACCAGTGAAGTTTGTTCTCGCACATCAAACAAGTATGTTTTTAAAGGGAGTTTAGGTGATTTGGTTCAAAAATATTTTTGTTATGCTGGCTGAAAGTCTTTTCACATCCCGATAGCAATCGCTACATTAAGTGACAGCGCTGGAGGAGGCGTGGCTTTGGAGAGTGATTTGCAGGAAGGATGCAATCTTATGCTTTCAAAGATAGCTTTAATTTTTCTGTTTTTCAAACACATCATCCATATAAATTTGTTGTTGATTTTGTGATTCTTACCAGTCCAGGAACTCAACCAAAGACTCTGAATCTTAAGAGTGAATCTTAAGACCCTAATGTCTTAAGAGTTTCTTAAATGAAGGTGATAACACAGCTGTATTTGGGACTGAAGAAACAGACCGACGTTTGATCATCATCTCATGACGACAGGTACATACTCCACAATATCCTCCTCTTCAACTTTCTATAAAAACATGCAACATAGTGCTAAAATTGTTTGCCTTTCAAAATGTAACACATTTTATTTAAAATCAAATATTGAAATTAAGTAATATTAGGGTTATAATACCTTTATATACCTATCGTACATCTAATGGTACCACTATGAACTCTTTTGGGGTAAATAAGGTACAAAGGTCCCATTTTGACATTTCTGCCCCAGTGACAAGCTATTGTAAGATTCCATTTTTCATTCTGCTACATTAATCCTTTTTGCTAAACATAACTAGGCAGTGGATCGGTAGTTCCATGTATGCTTTGCATGAGACAGCAAATGTTGAAAGGAAGTGTTGTGTTTTCAGGGACATTACATGCTAATATGAGACAGGGCTAGCATCTAGTTAACTGACAACACAAACGTGTTCTGGTTTTCTTTTGAATCATTGTTTTTTGAATTTATACAATGTTTACTGACTAAAGAGTTTTTAGAGCAATTTAAGAGTGTTGATAGTGGAGTTTTCACATTGAAAACATACGGCATAATGTAAATAGGACCTACTTCATATTAAGTGTCCTTGACCACTACTTACTTTTAAATTAAAGGGGTCCTATTATGGTTTTTCACTTTTTTAATTTTAGTCAGTGTGTAGTGTGTATGTTTGGGCATAAAAATAAAAATCCCTTTTCAAGAACTACAGCGAACGGCTCGTTTGGACTACAGCGTTTGTTTTCCGGGCTTTGTGATATCACAAAGCGGCTCAGAAATATGAATGGTTGGGAGGTGGGGTGGGGAGGGGCGAGGTTGTGGTTAGAACGCTTGGTTGAGTGAATGCATCAGACGAGACGACGAAGAAGAAGTGCTGCTGCAGAGTTAGTGCATCAGAGAAAACCAAGAAGAAGAGCTGCAGTGCTGTAGTGTAAAATTTTCAAACACAAATAGATCTGTTTTTCACAACATATATTAAGCATTTTGTAATGCCATTATTAAATTACAATAAATTAATTAATTTGGCATGATAATGGATCACACATACATTAAAAAAAAAGATCTTAGCAGAGTATGCAATAATTATATCAATATTCATGACTTTTTAATTTTTATTGAAGCTCAACAAATTACATTGTCATTCCTAGAAATGTTAATTTGAACACCAGCAG